CAGCTCTAATATCATTTATGAATTAATATTTGTGTAAGTAAAATGTAAGTAATATTTGAGTGCCTACTGTTTGCCAGGCACTAGCCAGGCTGTCCATGCCCTCAGGGGCCTTAAAGAAGAGTAGTGCCTCTTTTATTCAAATATATGTCTTAATTAGTGTGGTCCTTTGACTGCCATGATCATTGCCTTACCCAAGAAAGTATCACTTGTTTTGGAGGGATACTTAAAGGGCTTGAATCCTGATCAGGTTGCTAAACTATGCAGTAACCTGCTATGTATTAATAGTAAACTGCGTAAGTTTTCCTTAGTCTCAGTTTTTATTAGTAAAACAGGAATAGTAAAATCTAACTTAGGAGGTTTGAAGATTAAGGCAGTATTATTAAAGTACCTAGAATAATAACAGGTACTTAGTAGATGCTCAGTAAAGGGTAGTTCTTTTCTACTTTTTTTCTCAAGAAACTGGCAGTGATGGATGGAAGCAAATAGAGTTGTCAGTGTCTTTTGTTTTATAAGCGATTCTTTGATTTTTTTATCTGAAACCAGGATACTTCACTCTCCTTTCCCCAACAAATTGTTTTAAATAGATTTTTTTCCCCAAAAAAGCTTGTTATTTTGCATTATGCATAGCATAATGAAAATGCAATGACTTTTCTTTTAAGACTCTAAGAGTTCATTTTCTTACTGATCTATTATTGACCCCTGCCTTTTTGTGAGCAAAAAGGTAATGGGCTTTGATTAGTCATTCTCATCTTTATTTTTGGTTCCTGCTATAATTGTCATCATAATTTAAACTGTAAATCTTGGAAGATCACAGACATCTTAGGATATCAGAAAGCTAGAGTACAAATTTATTTTTGAGCTAGGAAAGGGACATTAGAGGTCTAATCAAACCACTTCCTTTTATGGACCAGGAAGGAGGTCAGAGGGTGAAAGTGCCCAAGCTCACGTAATATGCCCGGCAGAATCGAGGCTTCCTAGTGTCTAATGTTTGTTCAATTGATGTGTTCTAGTGTTCGTGTTTTGGTCATCAGCTCAAGTTCAGTTAAGAAGAACTATCACTTCTCCCTGGATTGTTTAGCAATAAAAGAAGAGCTATCACCTAACAAGGTTTCTATTTTACAGTTAGTTTACTTTCTGAAAATGGATCCTAGAAAATAGGCCAGTGGTTATATTTGGTCCAATTAGCAACCAAAAAGGCAAAATCAAAGAATGAAATATGGAAATCAAAGTACTCTTATTTTTTTGATTTGACTCTGATTGTTACACAGGGAAAACAGCATTGTTTGTGCTGTTCTTATACCTCGGGTTTATTTATTTATGTCTCTGTCTCCCTCTATCTACTTCCTAATGGTACAGACACTTATATTTTAGGATTTTTTTGTTATTAGATGTTAAAAATGGACAGAAAAGATCAGTGAGGGAGTAAATCAAGAATTATAAACTTTAAACCCTCTCTGAGAACGGAATGTTTATTTGACAAAATCTGTGACTTTTGGACTCTTTACCAATGCATCATAAGAAATAAAATGTTAAACAAATGTAAAATAGTTTATAATAAGTATAATTGCCAATAAGGTTGGGTCATGGGAAATACATATTAGACTAGGTTTGACAAGAATGTGGCACCAGTGCCATTAGGCGTTAGACCTTGTATTTACTAATCATCAGCTGCCTGTTGAGGCACTGGTTCCTTCTGAGCTCACGTAGAGCCTGTGCATCCTTCTCAACACATTGCATCTGAGGGACAGTACCAATTGATCAGAGTTTGTATATTGGTATTTACTTGTCATCCATGTATTAAATTATAGCAAATTAAAGGAAAAATTAGTATCATTACTAAAAATTAGTGTAAAAACAATAGTTTTTTTTCTTTTATCCCATAAAATATTACTGAAATTTTAAAATTTCGCTTAGAATTTTAGTTTTAATGTACTTTAACAGTTACATATCAGTGGTTATAAATTTAGCAAAAATCTTTATATTCTAGGCAGTACACTTGGGGTAGGACAGTGGTTTGGTATGGTTTACTAAATTCTAGTACTACATTCAGAAACTTCTTGGTAAAAAGAAGGCCTCTTGACTTACTAGAAATAGCTTTTATAAAATAAACGAAGCAAAAATACTGTTATATTCTTTATCAACTGCTTCTTTTTAGTGTTCTTGTCATTCAGTGATTGGCAAAATGCCAGTTCCGGAAATTCACAAGGTTGCTTACTATGCTAGTTGTATGAAAAAGAATAGACTGAATTCTCCCCTCTCCTCATCCCCACCATCAGTTATTGTGGCAAAAGAAAACATAGAGCTCTATACAGGGAAAGAGGAAATATTAAAACAAATCTTAAGGAAGTAGGAGAGAAGTATTTTAAATGTTTAAAAATTACTGGAAGGGATTCATCCATTCGTTGATTTAACAAACATTTGCGTACTTTCTGCCTGACTGTATGAGGCACAGTGATATGGAAATGTAGGGCAGTGCTTCTCAACCTATTTCACATCATGACACATGTAGAAAATGATAACACTTAAACAGAGATCATCTGCCAGGGAGGTTCTGCCACCTCAGGACCTTCCAGGCAGTCCTGTGGGCTGAGGACATGACTATCTTGGCACACCATCACCCCATTTGAGGTGGACACGCTGGGGACATTTGATGTAAAGACATAGTTCCTGCCTTTGGGAAGCTCACAATCAGTGAACCGACACCTAGAATCATTGCCTCCAAGACTGGTTTGTAATGGGGACGGAAAGAGTGGATGGCCCAGTTATGGGAGTGGTTTGTAGATTGCTAAAGGAGAACAAATCCAGCTACTATAGAAAAATATGATGTAACTTTGTATTAGCTTCTAAACCTTAAATTATGCCTCGAATCCACTTTGCTTCCAAAAGAATATGCAGTAGGGGGTTTTGATGTAATTCAGTGCTTGAGATGAGGAAGTATAAAAACAGATGGGGGAGCGGAACAGATCAGTTTCTTTTATGAATACTAACCCTTAGAAATTCTGATTCTGGGCATACATCCTGCTCCTTCTCTATAGATAGACCTTGTTGAGGAGATGAGGATAATGAGGAAAAAATCAGGAGGAAAGGGGGCAAAGATGTTGTGGAGGGAATCATACCGTTTAGAGCAGAATAGGATGTTAAGACACCTGTCCCTTCTCCCCTATCCTCATCCTCACCCCAACCTTCCCACCCTGGGGAAAAATCTGCAGTGCTCTCTCCTACCTCTGATACTAGATTATATCCAAATATAACTGCCCTTAGACCCCTCGAGTTGCAGAGGTAAAATGTTTGTATCTAAAACAATTCACTCAGTGAACATAACTGAATATCTACATGATGAGATGAGATCAGGAGGAGTGGTCCCTATTTCAGGGAGGCATAATAATCACACAGGGTGACAAGTGTTATAGAAGCACAGAGAAGAAATGTCAGGTCAGTTAAAAAAAGTGCTCTCTAGTCAAGGACATGCTTTGTCAGCCTAGAGGTTCTAGAAAATAGCTAGGAAAGTAGAAAAGTGAGGTCCCAACAAATTTGTTTGGTTTTTTGTTTCTTTTTACAAAGGATAAAATTAGGAGGTGATTTTTTTTAAAAGCCAAAGCTTTGAATTAAAAAGTAATGTAAAAGGAAATATAACTGAAGAGAAGATTTTAGAATCCTGCTTGTCAGATTCCTTTGGAAGCCTTTTTTTTCCCTTTAATACTCATGCAGTGGCCTGTGTGTGTGTGTGTTCAGTATTTATTCTTAAGGTAGGTCAGAAGCATGTATTATTGCTTCCTCTCAGAGTTTAATTTTAAAAAGTTTTCATCTCCTACTTTTAATTTATCAAGCTAAACTTTAATTTTAGTTATCTCTAGTACTCTTCATCCTGAGGAATGCCAGAGCAGTTGGGATGTTGTATTATTTTAGGATTCCTCACCCACTCTTGAAATGTACTTGGTTAAGCTAGGGTTTTAGACCAGCAATGTACTCCACACCCTTTCTTCCCTTTAATTTTAATGGCAGTAAAATCAAGCCTAACTTTGCAAGTTGAGATAGTAAATAAGCATTGAAAAAAATTTTTTTTCTTTTTTTTTTTTGGTTTTTCATCCAGATTCTAACTCTAATCAGTTGTCCTTTTATCCTTATTTACCAGAAGTAATGACTAGGTTGTTTGGGGACCTAATAACATGTTGCACTGGGGATAGGAAGGGCTAGACCATGCTTCAGCAGTTCTCTATTGCTATGCTCAATCTTCTCCTTAGAGAATGCCTCCTGACAGTGCCTGTGCTTCGTTCTTCCAGGTTTATTTTTTTATTGGAGGAGGGGAGATTCTACTAAAATTGTTTTTTATGTATTTTTGGGGGGAAGTGGGGGAGGTTTTGTCTACTTTCCGTATGGATTATTAGTTTTAAAAGCAAATCTTTAGAGAAGGTAAATTTATTAACATTCACGGGCAGCCTTGGCATTAATAATATAAAGATGGATAAATGAATCATATTTTTATTTTCTTAAAATAAGGACATAATTTGTCATGATTTCCCAGTGATATTTATTTTGGGATGCTTTGCCATTTAGTGATCTTATTTTCAAACCTTGGCTTGTAAGAAAATATAGCAAGTCCGAATAGCACCAATCTGGCAGATAACTACTGGAAGGTTTGGAAAGCTTTACCATGCTATTGCAGTCTTAAGTGGTGAGAAGATTAAGAATTTTTTTTTTTACATTTGTTTAATGTTCTTAACTAATATGGAAATTAGTTTTACTGTTTCTATTTTAAACATTAAAGTAGATGCTTTTGTTGAAATTATTGTTAGAAATCAAATCATTCTTTGCTGAGCCCTGTGTATGTACTTTTATGGTTTTTAATGTTTGGTAAGTATTATAATAACCTTTAATAATTACTTTATACATACAGTAAAATTGTTACTTTTTGATCTATATCCCATCGAATGCAACTTATTACCCTCTTTTACATTAAAATGCAATTTTAAAAAATGGTTTGTGGCTCTTTGTTTTTACAGGATCGCCCCAGGACATTTGACATGCACTCACTGGAGAGTTCACTCATTGACATAATGAGAGCTGAAAATGATACCATTAAAGGTAAATTTAGAAATATAACCAGTTGATTTTAGAAAATAGTTAAAAATGTGTATTATTTATTTACTCTGATGAGCAGTATGACAGATATTATGGAGTCATATTTTGTATAAAGTTCCATCAGTTTTATACATGTACCTCTTTTTGTTAAAAAAAAACCAAGCATGTTTGATGGACATCATGATACCAATGAAGCATACTACAAGAGTACTAATTGGTAAGAGTGGACAGGTAACTCAAAGACAAGAACCATATATCTCATTTTTTAATATCTTAGGCAATCACTTCCCAGTGCCTCGGCGGTATGTGTCTACCCACTTGTGACAGTGACTGTACACCAGGAAGAGTTTGTTCAAGTGTTGGTAGATAATTTTTTTTTTTTTGCCTGGTTTCCCGTTTTAAAAAATGGCCAACAGTTTCAAAGTTAAAATGAAGTTTCATGATTCTTGAGATTTTTTTCTATGTATTATGTTTAAAAAAATAGTACTATTCCTATTTGGCTTGTGGTCTCAATTCTGTTACTGACTAGCTGCATTATCTTGAATAAGACATTCAGTTTGACTAGGCCTCAGTTTCTTCATCTTTATAATAAGAGATTTAGAATCACCGGGGAGCTTTACAAATAAAATACAGATGCCTGGGCCCCACCTTATATATGTGGGGGCTCGCATGTTATTTTTTAATGTCTCAGATGATGCTAACATGTAGCCAGGGTGAGAATTATCAAACTCGATGTTCTCTAAGGGCCCTTCCTTTGTTTGGTTTTGTGAAAACTACCACACAAAATAAAACATTTTTCTTCACAAAAAAAAATCTCAGTTTACTAGAAAGCAGTTTTATTAAAAAATAAATTTGTTATGTTTGCTATATTTGATCATCCCACTTAAGTTGTTAGTTTTTTCCTTGGTTTGTCCATTCATTCATTCAATGATTCAGTGTTTACTACCCAAGTCTGCTTTGTACCAGACATAAAGCTTTGCTCTGGGGTCAAAGGTGGCAAGGCAGCCTATGGCTTCAAGTGGTGACCAGCCTAGCCCAGCTTTCCCTTGAGGTTGGCTTATCATATTACTGATGCAGTAAAACTTTTCGGTATTTTTCAATAGATCAATAATGATAATTTTTTAATGAGGAAAGTTTTGGGGATTCTGGAAAGATGAAAAATAATGTGTGAAAAAATAGGCATCATCTGATGAGATAAATGAAATAAGAATATTTTGAAGGTCTTTACTGAATTCCTGATGAAATTCTGATGACTGTCTCTAATCCAGATGCATGCTCTATGTCTGAGGAAAGATGATCTCTCATTCAGAATTGGCTTTATTTTTGCTACTTTTTAGCACTATGACTTTGGGTAGTCCTTCAGCCTCTTTGACCGTTTGTTTTCTCCTCAGAAAAAATAGAGTCAGAGGCTATTTCTAGCACCAGAAAAATTATACACTCTTAAAAAGCAGCTGAAGGAAAAATCTGAATAAGGTTTTTGAATTGCACCAATGTCAATTTCCTGGGTTTGTACTATAGTTATATAAAATGTTACTGTTTGAGAACACTGGATTTATAAAGGGTACAAAAGGATCTCTGTACTTCTTTTTGCAACTTGCTGTGAATCTATAATTATTTCAAAATTAAAAGTTAAGTACAGAAAAAGTAGCTAAAGTACATTTGTTTATCCTTAGATGTATTTAATTACCTTAGCACATTTTTTTTTTGAGCGCCTCCTATGGTACTAGATACTAGGGATAATAAGTAATTAGGAATCATTTTTTATGATAAATGTGTATGGTTTTTATCAGAGAAAACACAGGTTACAAACAGCGGTAGATATAAACAGTTTGTGATGTGATGTTTCTAAGAAGCAAGCCTCTAACTAGTTCTTAGGTTAGCTATAAGAGTTTGCACAGGTTGTTCTAATAGGATTAACAGTCAGATTTCCAAGTTTCAGCCAGGTTATCTCCCTTAGGTTTATTTATTTCCTCTAGTTTGCTAAGTGGGTTATTGTATAAAGTTCCACCTTTATTCTGTATTCCCTTTTAAATTTCTTCTTACCAATTTTTAGCTAAATTAAGTTTCTTTAAGCTAATTCTGTAGGGATAATCGAAAGTTAAGTCTGATGATAGAAAAAATTAAGTCTGATTGGTCTAGTTTGGGAACATAAAGATTTTGTAAAATTGTGATTCATAGAAGGCAGCATGGCAGAATGGAAAGGCAGTGGGTTTTGGAATCAGATCTGGATTTAAACTACCACTCTGCCACTACAGTTTGTGGAGGCCAGGAGGATTAAATGATATGACGCAGTTATAGAATTCAGCATATTGCCTTGTTTGTAGAAGACACTCAACAGATGATATGAATTCTTACTAAACATCTAGTAAGTTGAATTGAGAAAGCCAGTTTCAATTTAAGTTTAGGGGCCAATCTGGCTTGAGTATAATAAATTAACTTTGTGAGTTTTTTCCTTCAAAGAGCAGTAAAAAATTCACAGAAGAGTGCGTGGAACTAAAATGCCAGGTTATAGTTACACTTGATTTTTTTTCTGAAACCAAGATCATGAACTTTGTATCATTGTAGTCTATCACTACCAAAATGTTGTTTTGCTCAGGTTAATATTTTATTTCTTGCCAAACTCTCTTCTGATTTAGATGGTTGTTTTAGGAACACTATGCTTAACTTTTTAAAAAAAATTATTTATTTATTTTTAATTTTTTATTTTGTGAGATTTTGTTTAAAGTGATAATAAAATTTGAATACCTTAAAAAATAACACATTGTCATTTTAAAATAGGTATCTAACACCTGCCAATTCATTTTGAAATTAAAGAAATAAATGAAACACTCTCCTGGTGTTTTGCTTGCTTAGACACAGAAAACAGAAAATCGGCATTAATTCTGAGACTAGTAGAATATATATCTCTCAGAAAAAAAATACAGAAATTTAACTAACAGGATAAATTTGAGAGTTGTTTTGAAAAGACTCCACCATTTTATAATTTTATACTTGGGTTCATTTTATATTAAAAACAATTTTATAAAATATATTATGAATGACCACATTTATTTTTATCTTTTATTTCCAGTTTTTCATACATACGTGGTTTGTGTGTGGGTTTAAATAATAGAGCCTAAAATTGATACAAGAACTACAAGTTGAGTCTGTTGGTGTGACTGCTATTACTTTAAATTTTTTAAAAAGCCAGAAAACTGGCTTTTTTCATTTGGGAAAAAATATCCCCCTTGATGTGGTGGGGTTTAAAAATTTTGTTTTTCCTATCAACAAACAAGATATTTAATGTGCCTAGGAACCTTCAAATACAGTTTTTGAATTTCTTTATGAATGTGTTGTTGATTCCAACTGGCTTGTTGGAAACCTTTTATCTCTCTCTCTCTATTTCTTTTTTTCTTTTAACAAATTTTCAAAAGGAGTACATAGGCCTTCATTTCATAATTTATCTTAGTTTTTTACAGTTTATTTTTAATTGTTTTTCTAAGAATTTTAAGGCTGCTATCATTTTTTTCCACATACATGGGTTTAGCTCTTTGGGGAGGAAAAGGGTCCTCCCCATACCTTATCTCCATGTCCTTTCTCTGGTCGTCTGGCATGTCTGTAAGTTATTTTTATCCACGAAATTGTGTATTGCCTTCTCTATAACCAACACCAGTGACAATCTGAGGAAGCTCTTCCCCACAGAGCGATTTCATTTTCTTTACCGCACACCCAGTCTCATAAGCTAAGAGCCTGAGCTACAGACTGATTTTGAATTTTGATCTCCCAGGTGGAAGCTTGCACATTCCTACAATATTATTAGGCTTATCAAGTGTTTTCTTCACCTAGACAGAAAAATCTTTTACTATCGTAGGTGCTCAGATGATTATTTGGGGAATATTGTATCTTACTGTTATTCGTGTTTTTTTTCTCGCCTGTGAAATTGGTACTTATTATTTAGAAATGGAGCAGCATGAAATAGATTAAAACCACATGTGGATACATCTGTTTTCAGCCTCCTGAAGCATAGGTTGCACACAGTGAAATACAGATTCATGAAGCAGTGTTATATTCAGTGTATAGTCAGAGAGACCTCTGAAAATTAAGGAGGCTTTTTTTCTTTCCTGTGTGTGAAGGGAATAAAGGGATGTCGGTATAAACCAAGAAGTAGTGGTTTATAGAATGGAAGCAGAGGGAGACAGCAACAGTGCTTAAAAATTATCAGATGTCAAACGAAATATAACATTCCACAATTTCATGATAGTGGTGCAGTATTTTAAATCTGATATATGAAAACTGTTTAATACCCAATTTGCTTCATTTCACTAGAAAGCCAAATTCAGGCAGCAAAATTATTGAGAACGCAAAGGTAATCTGTAAATTGTCAGAACATTGTAGTTCTTCAGATATTAACTAACTAACTTATGAATCAGAATATCATCATATTTTTCCTTTGAATATTGGCAAAATGGAGTCTTTTTCTTTTCATATTGTTATAAAATGTATCTTGCTTTCAATTTTTGGAAGGGAGAACTCAACATATTCACCACAATTCCTCTGAGTTTTAGGCATTTCAAATACTTAATTTGAATGTAAGCAATAATGTTTGCATTCAGAAAAGCAAGTTGTTTCAAGTGCCAGTCTTTTACATATCCCCATGGTGCCCAAGAAACCTATTGCATGTGAAGAGTAAGTAGTGGGAGCATGTTATACAGCTAAACACATTACTGCTTCACTTGCTTCATGTATTCGTTTAGTATTATTTAAGAGCTGTGGCTCTCCTCCAAAAATGCTGTGTTTTAAATTCCTGACTGCCAAAGGTGTTGCAACCTTGCATTTTAAAACACTCTTGATATTTTTTTCTTTATGTACATGTTAGTTAGGGGCCCTTCCCCCCACTAATTTTCATTGCTGTGAATTTGTTTGAAACAAATGCTTAAATGAGTGGGCAAGTGATGATTCCATCTGTGCCTCCTTTTTTTGTTGCTAAGCGAAAGAATTTATAATAGTCTCTCTAGAAGAAAATC